AATGTTGTGTGGAATGAGTGGTTAGACTCGGGAAGGTCACATTTGGCGTTGTCGGCAGGGTAGCCAGAGACTCGTTACATTTGGCGTTGTCGGCAGGATAGACTCGGGGACTCGTTACATATATATATATATATATATATATATATATATATATATATATATATATATATATATATATATATATATATATATATATATATATATATATATATATATATATCAATGTTTGTGTGTGTGTGTGTCTGTTTTTCTTTTATGCATTACTACACCTTTTATCCGATTGCCATGAAACTTTGGGAAGTTTCTAAGTATGCTCATGGAAAGGTTTCTGCGAAAAAAGATGTTCAAACTCGCAGGATTGCCCCCCCCCCCCGGCAGCGCGCTATTCGATTCTTCTCTATATACTGTATATAAAAGTAAAATCGATTGCGGTTCAACACCGTTCATCCGATCGTCATGAAACCTTCCGAAGTTGACTAAAACACTCCAGGGGAGGTTTGTACACACACAAAAAAAAATCATTTATATTTTTTTATGGGCGGCGCCCGGGTGGTGTATTTTTTGTCAATACACCTTTTGACGCCCAGAGTTCCCGAGCGGCTATGTTAGTACTTGGCATCCGTTAATCGGGCGTTCTGCATAGCGGGTAAGGGGTTCTACTATATTTAGCAACAAAACTGCAACAGGCGCAACCACCGGCGCCTCGTCTATTGCGCGACCGGGTTCCCCTGCGAGTACTATGGCGCCTACGTTCATTTTTAAAAATAGGCTATACACTGTAGACACGCGTTGATTTAGTCGCTTACTAAATCGAATCAGGCGCATCCTCCGGCTTCTCTGCAGGGTGCGATTTGGCGCCCAGGGCTATTCCGCGAGCACTAAGCGCCTATCTTAGTTTCAAGGAGCACCCTACAATACGACATACGATGATTAAACCGAGCTAGGGGCCGTACGCATCGCCACTGCGGTAGTGTAATTGGGTTCACGAGAGAGCCAGTTTCCGTCCTCGACAAGTAGGCGAGTGATTAACTTACACTCAAGTCTTTCATAGAGCACGCCATGGTGGTGGGCTGTAGTGTAGGTAACCAGTGCCTCGATAAATATGATCCAAACACAGGCATTGTTTAAACTTAAATAACTCAGCTTTAGAAAACAAGGAAGTACATTGAAATAGGGAGTAAGTAAATATTCTAATAGAATAGCGAGTGTTTATTGCTTATATTCGTTATTATATCGTTCATTACCGAGTGCTGCAGACTAATACTTTTATGAGTTTTAAAAATAAAATAAAACAATTATTAATATTTTTGCACCGAGCTGAAGAGCCGCACCTTGACACCAAAAGAGCCGCATGCGGCTCGCGAGCCGCATGTTGCCGACCCCTGCTTTAAGTGAATCCAATCCGGGCGTCCTCCGGCACCCAGACAGGTATTATTTGGCGCCCCGGGCCTTCCCGTATACGCTATGGTACCCTCGTTTGCGTGAGTTCAAAAGACTATGAATAAGTTATGTACTATAGTCGTTTACTAAGTTGAATCAGACGGTTACCTCATGGTGCGTCCTCTGGCGCCCAGACAGGGTGCTATTTGGGGCCCCGGGCCTCCCGTGTTCGGTTTGGCCGCTACGTTCGTTAAAGTGAGTGCAAAAGACTATGAATAAGTTGGGGTACTATAGTCGTTTATTAAGCTGAAACATGCGATTCCGCCCCGGGCTAGACTGTGAGCACTTTGCGTTTATGTTCGCGTTAGTGTTTTCTTTGTGTTTAGGTTGGGTTTGCGTTAGGGGTTGCGTTTTGATTTGGTTCGTTTTTGTTCTTTCTTTTTTCGTTTTCGTTTCTGTTTTTTTCTTTGGGTTTGTGTTTGTATTTGTGTTTGTGGTTGGTTTTGCGTTTGGATTTGGTTTGTTTTCGTTTGCTTTTTCGTTTGTGTTTTTTTCTTTGGGTTTGTGTTTGTGGTTGGTTTTGCGTTTGGGTTTGGTTTGTTTTCGTTTGTTTTTTCGTTTTTTTTTCTTTGTGTTCGTATTGGTGTTTGTGGTTGTGGTTGGGTTTGTTGTTAGGTTTTTGTTTTCGTCTGTATTTGTAATTGTGTTAGCGTTATGTTTGCGTTTTGTTGTTTTGGTTTTGGTTGGTTGTGGTTTGGGTGGGCAATGCCGGGTTTATGATGATTACTAATCACACAGGTAATGGTCTTTAACAGAAAGGTTTTTCACATAAGCCAGAGCAGGGCCTGGCCGGGACGGCTAGTAAATAATTATAATAGTTAAAGTATACAACCAGGAAGTATAAAATTAAAAATAAAATCTTCATTTTTTATGCTATTTAAAACCCCTCCGTAGTAAGAAGCAGTCAATTTCTTCGCTGTCTATGTTTAACTCCATTTCAGCCTAACCGCTGACTAAGGAGCCTACTGGTAATTTTTCATAAGGGCCCGAAAATCCTAGCTACGCCAATGGTTTAGACTAAGTTTTATTCCATTCTATTCTATTCTCCCCCAAGTTATACCATGCCAATCCATGGCATTGCATAACATTCCATTCCGTTTTAATTCCATTCCGTTCTATTCGGTTCTATTCCACTCAGTTCCACTCCGTTCCGTTCTTTTCCATTCTATTCCGTTCCGTTCCACTCCGTTCCACTCCGTTCCGCTCTGTTTCTTTCTGTTCCGTTCTAGTCCGTTCTACTGTGATCTATTCTGTTCTATTCCTTTACGTTCGGTTCAGTTTCATTCAATTCTGTTTTTTATATTTTATTTTATTCTATTTTATTCTTATATTAATCTAAGTTGTATTCCATTATATTTTATTCGTCTCTTGTACTCATTTGTATTCTAATATAATTAATAAGCTCCACTCTATTTTAATATCTTGTATTTAATGTACCCTATTCTAATTTGTTCTAGTTAGTTCTACAACAATTTTCTGTTTTCTTCAACAGTCTAATGTATTCTACTGGTATTTAAAAGATTTTTATTTTACCGAATTCTACTACGTTTTACTACCATAGCTCTACTACAAGTGGGGGAGTTGTGTGTATGGTGAGGTATAAATCATTGGGTATACCTTTTCTGGTACCTTGATGATGATGTGTGTGGGTTAAGCTGTGTGGGGTGTGGGTCGAGGGGCTGTACTTTAACATAATGGTTACAATGTGGGTATGTGGTGTGTTGTTGAGTGCGGCATTGTTTTGGGTGAGGTTTGATTCGGTGCTCTGTTGACTGTGTCGTGCAGTTTGCGTTGCAGTGTTGCATCCTTTCTGTTTTTCGCTCCCTTTAATTGGTTTTTATACTATATTATGTGAAATTAAAATCAATATACAATAATTCAAAAACGATGTTTTGTATTTTGTGCATTTTGTTCGAGGTTTCAAAAGAAAATTGAACATATGTCTTATATTATGTTACTGGCAATACAGCTATCAATGAAATCCACATTTAAGGGAATATATTATATCAGTGAGTGTCCAGGTTTTTATGTATAGTCATACCAGCATACAGCTTTAGTAAGGTTTCTCCAAACTCTATTTATTTGTGGATATAAGAAAAGCCTTTTTGCCTTAAATTGTTTTTTGTGTGAATTATTTATAACTCCGTTTAAGTACACACAATTCAACTTATTTTAAAATACGTGGTAGTGCTAATGTTTAGGTCGCCAAAAAAAAAGTAATAAAATGATGGGAAACAAATTGAAATTTTGATTTAAACAAATCGAATGTCGAGATAAACGTTGGTTTGAGCAACATTTGAATCAAACAACAAATATTCATAATAGGGGGTTTGTATAATTGTTTAATCTCTAACGTGGTATAATTGGAGTATCATTGGCGAAAAGGCTGCTCTGAGTTTATTTTAGACATATCACTGCCCTCCCCCCTCCCCAAGCACGACCACCACCCACAGAATATTTTAATTTGTCCCCATCGGATGTTTCAAGTGCCCCCCCCCCCACTCATAGAATTTTTTTTGAAAGAAACCCTGGTCCTTCTGTCTGCCGTGGTCATTTTCAATCCACCTACATTTCTTTAATGTGACAATTTTTCAAGGTTTAGAAGTCAAAGATTGAGAAGATGTTTATTTATTTCGGCGCCTTGATTTAGCTTCGCCCATATGAGGAAGTATAAATCTACTTCGTGCAAATTTGTTAGCAGATTATCTAGCCTATATATTAACTCGGGATTATATATGTATATACAAGCAATTAATTATTTAACTAGCAAGTCATAAATATTGTAATACAATTATGAACACTCGAAAATTTAAATCTTAAAATGACACAGTAATGAATTGAATTGTAGTCCTTTCAAAATAAACCGTTAGTGACCTCCCCTAAAATATCTCGAATTTTCTTCTATGAAACAACAGGAAATGGCAACTCGTGATATAGGCATGATTTTTAATCCATTTTAAATATAGAATTGTAGAAAATCTCGTAGAAAAAAAGAATTGCACACCAAAAAAAAAACCGCCAATTAAAATGTGCATAATAGTGCGGAATCTTATTATAGTACTTTATAAATTCACATGCGTTTTTGAGAAATCGGAAATAGCAAAAATTACTACTTCCGGTCAATGCAAATTACTCAAAAATTTGACAAAAGGCAGAGAATTAGATCTTTTATTTACATGTGAAATGTCATTTATCCATCTGAAATAGTAATCAAGTTATAGGCTTTTGAAAAATTCAAAGTAGAAAAAGTTCCACTTCCGGTTATCGGAAATCGCTCAAAAGTTAATACGGATCTGCGATTTTATATAATACTTATATATGAAATTTCATCAACCTAGCTGTAACGGTACTCAAGTTATCATGCTTACACACATATATACACACACAAGACATACGGACAAGATTACAAAACTATGTTTTTCCGACTCAGGGAGGTGTAAAACGTCGGGATTTGGAAAAATCTCGATTTTTTTTGCACGATTACAAGACTTTCTCTATAGGCCTACTTCGTATATACGAGAAAGTAAAAACAAACACTTATCGTTCAAGTTTCACGAGCTAGTACGTGGTTTATTGATTAGATAACGATCAACTGTTATTATTACTTATGCCAAATATATCACATTATTACTAACCAAGATTTATAAAAAAATAATTGGAATCCAGAAGATATTGGCCGAGCTCAAAGTGATTTTAGCTCAAGCTCTACTGAACGTTTTTCTTTACTTGTGACACAGTAAGCTTATGGTGCTTGAAATCCTTGCGAACGTTTATTTAACTTGTGTGATTAAACTACATATAAGATGTAAAATAGGTGCGATCAATTATAATATAATTGATTTGTTATCCAATATATATTTGTTGGAAACTGTGATCATAAATCCAAACATAAACAACAACGTAAACCTGACCGTGAACCGAAACAGAAACACCAACAAAAACCTATACCGTTACCAGAACCTTAACCGTAACCTTAAATCATTATTACCAAGCTTCCGTTCCATTACTTACTCAATGCGAGCTGTCACAAATTAATAATATATAGTTTAGCACACCAAACAATACCGAAATCGTTTTTACACGCTAACAAATAGAAATTTTATCTGTCATGTTTTATACAGTTTCGTTCATATACAGATTAAACTAAAAACAACAACAAAAACACACATTTAAAAAAAAATTTTTTTTGTCTATTTTAATAAAAATATTAGATACATTAAAAATTACTTAATACTACAGTTGTAAGTTGGATGTAATTAGAGTTATATCTGTTTCAGCGCTACGTACAGTAGAAGCATTATATTTGTTTAGCACATGGATTCACATCTGAAATTGATGATCTATTATTTTGGATCATTAATATTTTAATAAGAAATAAGTTTTATGACTTATTTACACAATATTAATTAAATTATAAATAGGACGGTCTAAATTTCAATGCACTTTGCCGAGTTTCTGAAAGAAAATACACAAATGATTAATTTAAACAAAGATTGAACTTTATTGCAGTATGAGGTAAACGTGTTTAACAAGAAATATAGATGTAATGAAAACAAGAAGTGTTTGAGAGAGAGAGAGAGAGAGAGAGAAAGAGAAAGAGAGAGAGAGAGAGAAACAAGAGGAGAATAAGAGATAAAGACAGAAAAGCAAAAGATTGAGAGCGAGAGTGAATGAAGGATACATAGAGAGAAAGAGTAAGTAACTACAATTACTAAATCTATGTTCGAACAAAGTTGTGCAATTTGCAGTCTACTTACAAATTGAAAATGTCATCATTGTCAATATGAACTGAAACAAAGATAAGAAAATACGTCAACTTTGTACAGACTTTATCTACTGCTATTAAGCAATGATCGTATATCTTTTGTTTCGTTGTTGGGGTCAACTTTGTTCAGAATTTATCTGCAGCTATTAAGCAATGATCGTATATCTTTTCTTTCGTTGATGGGGGTCATTCATTATTATATTTGAGTTATCCATAACTGGTATCGATTGTTAAGAGATAGGGTGCTAGGTCGTACCGATGTGAATGTTCTTTAAAGCTTGTCTTTTAGCTATTTCGATTACATTAAAGTATTATATAGTATTCATTAAAACTATTTGTACATTTTAGCTACAATTATTAGGACCTTTTTTTAAGTTAAAAAAATAAAGAAATACGTTGATCAAACAATAAAAAAAAATGTATTTTTTGTGCTCGAAATTAAATGTCCAATGTACTTGTTTATTTTTTTTTTCACCTAACTAGTTTAATGTATCACCACGTTAACACACAAGACACACCGTTTGATTCTATAACTTCTTTATACAAACTGTTATATTACTATATTCGAACACTTGATGCCGGTTTTTAAGGCAATAACACTATGTTAATACTTTAAATATGTGTTTTACTTCATCCTATTTTACTTTCTCGTATACAGAGTATACAGGAAGTATATTAATCGGGCACACTTTTCCCGAATCAATGACGCGTAAAAAGCCGAGATTTTGACAAATCTGAATTTAGAATTTTTGTCCGATTAAAATAAGTTCCCTGTACTCCGTATATGATGACGTACTGAGGTGTAAAACGGTGAAAAGTGTACAAATGTAATGTGATTTTTGTGCAGGATTACAATACTCCCCATCTTAAACTCTGCATAGGAGAAAGTAAAAATGTAAAAAAAAATCAATAAATACATTTCTATATCCGGACTGCATGAAAGTTCCATTCCCTTGTTATACAAGAATATAAGGGAACGTTTAGGGGAGGTTACTCCCACTTTCTTTCATAAGCGAGGCTGCTTTTAACTTTAGAAAGGTGTATTTTTCCAAGATGGCCACCGTTGCCATGTCAATCATGCATAATAAGGTCCTTAGAATGTGGAATTTTTACTTACAGTTGCTAACTATCTAATATTTACTTATTTAGTTACTTGTTTACAATTTTGTTTTAAAGGGTGTAGTGGCCCCTTAAACAATGTTATAAACATCAGGACATAAGAGAGCGCGACTGCTAACCAACAATCTCGTGTTCGAATCCCTAGATTGAGCTCGAAATTTATCCCTGAGTCCACCCACTCTGATGGATATCTGATTAATGTGAGACTAATGACGGCTGAGTAAGGCGCTGGCACGACAAAAAAAGCGATAAGCTCTACTTCATATACCCCAGGTACAAAAGGATAAAAATTAATTAAATTTACTTTTATAAATACTAGATACAATAAATTAATAACTACACTATACTAGAGTAATTGTTTGTGTTGCAAAAGTGTTTACCTTCATATTTTTTTCTTTTCTTGCTGTTACTGCATTTGATAAACATAAAATGCATTACTTGTTTTATTTAAAAGATACATTATATATATATATATATATATATATATATATATATATATATATATATATATATATATATATATATATATATATGTGTGTGTGTGTGTGTAATATGGGTCAATCCAGTTTTATAACTCGGTAAGTTAAATAAGTACATTATATTACATTCGCCTCTTTAACTACCTAACAGTTTGCCGCTAAACACTCTGAATCTTTTATCTTCCTGCTTGTTTTAATCTTGTCTTAATGAAGTTTATCGTCTTTATTCTCATTTTTTTTAATAGCAATAATAGACGTTAACAATACTGATTTCCAGAGAATATAAACTTTTAAAAACAATCAGTTGATTATTTTACATTCTACTTTATTATAAATTGCATTTTATATAATTTAAATGGAGAATATTAAATTGAGATACAAACAATATAATTTGACATATGAGCATTTTACTGAACGAATTAATTTCGTATTTTGGGGTACAGCTGCATAGATATTCTCTATATAATATATTACCGCTAAAAATCTATCTCTTTGCATAGAAGACACATACAAATCGCAGTCAATTTTATACTGGTTAATGTTTCTATACTAAAGATTTACCTTTGATAGGCTCGCAACTTTCTATACTTTCGGTAGGTGAATTCTATGAGTAATGAAAAAACCGTATTCAATTTTAAATTTCATGACATTATATATTACCGAAATTATCATTTACTTGTTTTAAAATCAATGATGTATCTTTGAAGAAAAAATCAGTCTTACTATTGTGTTTTGCAACCAACAGGACGATGACGAAACACATTAACACAACTACGGTCACAGGCACAATAATCCAATAGATGTCAAGTTGATTCTCAGTTTCGTCCCCTAAAGAATATTACACATATGCTTTCTGTAGCTTTTATCGTTCAATCATGTAACCGAAACTTAAAACAAATTGTAGTTTTACTAAAGCGTAATAATTTTCAACGTATTTTTACACTTAATTATCCTAATATTTAAAAGCCCATGTGCGCACTTCTCTCTCTCTCTCTCTCTGTCCGCAAAATATTTTCGCCGGATATCACGTCAGAATCTGCAGCGATATATAAAGAACTTGATACGAACTTTTGTTGAAAAAAATATGGTAGATGTTTTAAATTTATAACCAACATTTTATTTAAAGAAGAAAATAAAATAAAAGGCGTATTCGAATGTAGAAAAACAGTTATAATTATGCAACAGGAAAAGCGTTTATAGTTGTGAAAAAGAACGCATAAAACTGTGACGTCACTAATGTTTATACATTAACTAATGACGTCATCTGCCGTGCTTAGAATAAAAAGAAATGAACTATTTCATTCAAATTTGATTCAGATCTACTTACGCTATGAAATGAATATAGATCTAATACAATTTTTCCGGCCTAAACTTATAAAATTTATTTTATCTATTTGGATTCTAGATCTATAGATTCTAGATCTAGACTAGAACTAAATCTACGCAAAAACTAGACGTAGACGCTAAGTCGCTAAGATCTAGATTTCGACTCTATCTACCCTAGAATCTATTCCAAAAATAAATTTCTATATTAGGCCTAAACTATTTCAGGCCTTAATTATTTTATACAAAATCTTTGTTTGTTTAGCTATGGAACTGGCTAGTTTGGGATAAAAAAATTAATTTGAAAGAATAGGCATATTCGCGTAAGTTGTTTTTTAAAATACGTCTTTCATACTCCATGTTTTATAAGGTGCTTAAATAGCTGAGATGATAGTGTGGTGGTGCGGGATCGAGACACGCCAAGTCAAACTTAGTTTTGTTTTCTTTTTTTTAAATATGTGAATCTTCCGATTTTAGACTATAAAGAAAGGAACTACTTCATTCAAATTTGATTTAGATCTAGATCTGTAGATCTACTCATCAAGACGTCCCTATGAAATATATACAATTTTATCGGTAAAACTAATTGAATAGCCAGATTTTTAACGGAATCATTTAAGTCACTTAATCAGTGTGTGCCTGTGTTATGTTAAATGTGTCGGATTTTCAGCTAATTAGTTATTTTTTTTTGCTTTATAACTAATATCGTTCAGCGTGTAGTAAAGCACATTGCGTTTTGACCAATAACTATTTCATAAATTATTTTTCTCAAACAAGTACAACATTTTAAAATATATAGGCCTATAATTCACGTGAAACGGGTACCGATGGCTAGTAGTTAATAGATTAAAGAGAAAATTAGTTCAGTTAAATATAGAGAGATTTTAAAACCACTTAATTGGATTGTTAACTGCTGTTACATAAATCTAAACAATATTTAAATACATAATGAATATAAATACCTTTTAAAGTAGCTGAATAAGTCACATTGTTACTAGATATGTTATATTTTCTTGCCATACAATAGTAGTCTGAAAATAGATTTTGTAGGGTATATATATATATATATATATATATATATATATATATATATATATATATATATATATATATATATATATAAATATATATATATATATATATATATATATATATATATATATATATATATATATATATATATATATATATATATATACATATATATATATATATATGTATATATATATATATATATATGATTTCTTTAAGGTTATTTTTGCCATTTTACCCTTACTACATATATATAAATCAAACAATCACATCTTGATTCTTATAAAATACGTGTTTATGTAACATTGTCAAGTGCAGTATAAATTAAGGTTGTTTATCCTTTCAACCGTAAGTCATTCTTTATATATGTTTTGAGTAAAATCCATTTTTGTGATTTATAATTAAGTCTTTAACAGAAAGCGAAAGCCTAGTCAAGTCAATTCATTTGATTAAAAACTCTTTTAAGACTCTAAACCTATAAATGTGTCGAAATTAAATCAATTTACCTGTGCTTCATCGTGTACCGATTAATTGTGTGTTTTTTTAAACATGAAGCAAAAATTGCAGTTTTAAGCTATATTCTTCGGTACACCCAATTACCTTGGCTTATATCAAATGCCGTTATAGACAAAGTTGGAGATCCATTAAACTGTACATCATGACTTCTGTTGTACCACATTGGTTGAGCTGTTATTTGAGAATCGTCTGATCTCACACACGTACAGTTGATAGTTTCATTGACATGAGTGTACTCACGAGGGCAGTGGGATATTGACACAGACAAATCTAGGAGAAATTTAAATACTTTAAGAGACACACTTTATAAGAAAAAAAGTGTTATTTTATTATGTAATTGTACATGATTTTAAAAATAATTTTCTATAAAAAATAAATATAAAATATATTCATACCTAAAGATATTTTTAAAGAATCATTTATTCCATGCTGTATACCGGTGACATTCGGATATACAGAAATATTGATAACATTATTGCTTTTGTCGTAATGTGATATCGGATAGGAGAAATTACATGAAGCATCAGATAAGTTTCCGTTGATTTTAAGTGTTGCATCTATATTAGTTGGAGAATTTTCTTTCTGCAAAATATAAAATATGCTTTTATATAGTATTAGAATATTATAACATAAGAGAGTTCAAATAGACACAATTCTTGTATAAATGATACAAATATTTTTGATTAATAAAGTAATTTAAAAAAAAAAAAACCAACGTTTAAATCTAAACTGGATAACATCTAGTAAAATATAATAACTAATAAGGCCTGAGCCTTAGACCCAAAGCTACCCCATCTTACATAATGTATTGTCTGAGAACAGAAATCCACTGTAACTGTGAAAGCTCAAGTCAAAATGTAGCTGTATATTGTTATATTTTATATAATAAACAAAGAGTGTGGCAATACACACATAAATGTTTATGTATTCCTCTTTGTAAGACACGACAATACATAAATAACATAGATAACAAAAAGTTCTAGCTTTATGTAAAGTAAGGAGAATTCAGAAAGGATGCAGATTTTAAACAAAACAACTCACGTTATTAAAATACAAAGCATCTATCTACTTGCAAGTTATAGAAAATATAATAACGCTGCATCATTAAAAAAAAAGCAACTTACTTTATTGGAATACAGCTGGAATTGACATTTACCACCAGGATAAATTTCAACAGCTTCACAGGTAATGAATACGTTTTCATTGTTTACATCGTAAGTACAACGTACATTGTCTGGTCTTTCTGAAGAAACAAGCAGATGTTTGATTACCGGAACCTTACAATAGAATCGTGTATTTTGTTTTTTAGAAAAAGGATATTGTACTTACTGTACTTAAGAAGTTTACAATCCAACTGTAAATAATCAACACATTTGATTTCCAACTTATCACAATTTTTACGTTCTAGTGGGATGTTCACGTTGACCCCGTTCTTTGTTTTGTTACACCTATCTCCACCAAAACCTTCCACTTTATAACAGTACATGATGCCATTACACAGAACCTTTAATTCAGACAGATCACCACACTCGGCAGCATTCACAAGAAAGTAGTTGTTTCGGTTGACTTCTATGGGACATGCTTCAAGTTGCCCTGAAAAACATTTACGTTATTTAACTAATGACTTGTGTTTAGTTCAAAGGTACGAACATTCTCTCTGATGTTACTGTTACTGTAAGAATGTTGTACAAAAAAAAACTTCAACGAGCGTGGTTGAAAATTACTTTCAAAGGGTGTTATTGGATGATAGAACTACGATCTCTCAGATAGGAGCCTAGAGTCGGTTCCATAATTCAAGTCCTACTCTGATGAGTCATATGTTAGGCACAACTAAAGCTACTATGCATAATAATGACCACATTATCTTTTTCATATGCTGGAGTCATTAAGACAGATATATATATATATATATATATATATATATATATATATATATATATATATATATAGTATGATATTTACGCATATATATGCATATATATATATATATATATTTATTTATATATATATATATATATATATATATATATATATATATATATATGTTATTACGGGACAAATGATCTCAGACAAAATATCTCACGGACAAATTATCTCAGGATAAATGATCTAAAGATAAATTATCTTAAGGAAAAATGATCCCACGAACAAAAGATACCAGAGCAGAATGTATCAGGACAAATTATATATATATATATATATATATATATATATATATATATATATATATATATATATATATATATATACGTATGTGTGTATGAATACATTACCTGACAGTTCTAAACATCCAAATAAAACGATAATTTCAATACATTTCCTAAACATTTCAATATTTGTGGATGTATCTATTTTACTTGTGAAAGTCGTTGTTTGAAACTGGGAAGAATTCACACTCAAAGGAGAGGTTTAGTTCTGAGGGAAGGAACAACTGTTAAAGAGACGAAAAGACAATAACTTGTCATTAATAAGTAGAGTATGTTTGTTGCTTTTGTTATGAGATATAATTAAATTGCCTATAAATTATAGCGTTGGTTATTATTTTGCTGATCTCAAATACATTGTAAATAAAATTAACCTTCTGTTCCTTAATTAACCGCGTGAAGTAATATTTTGTTTTACTCGACAATACTTCCCAATAGAGAAATTAAGAATGAGTGGAAAGTGCCTGTGAAAAAAAGTCTTGTCTCTCTCTCTCTCTCTATACGGAAACCGGCTCAGAAGTATGACTTCCATTATCCAGGCAAGCCTCAGTGTAGCAAACTCCGACACATGGTGGTAGTAGCAAGTCGTTTAGTGGCGGTTTGATCGCTACACGTCGGTCGCTTCTCCGTCGGCTCTCACCTGGCTTTCCTTCCCCACCCACCAGACGCGGGACGTTGTCCTACCGCCTGGTACCCAGCTTGATCGTGGGTTCGGCCAGATCAAAAACCTCTAGCTGCTGTTGGCTACCACTAGCCATTCCGCACCCACTAGGGGGGTGATGAGCTTGGTCCGACTAATGGCACTCTTCCGAGGCCACGTGAAGGCCGCAGCTTAAATTCAAAATATCTGGTTAGGGTCGAGAGCAAACCTTTCTTGGTTCCCGGCAGTCTTGCACCTCATCTCCCCCACGCTATAATGTAGGGGACTTGGGAGTCCGACATACCAGGCTCTTGTCTCTCAACACTAGTTAAGCTTTAACTTAATATCAACTCCCACCATCCGACTATTGTTGAGCGGCCTAGTTTCCTGTACTCAGTAGGTCACGTGGTCTTGCTGCAGGCTGTACTGCCATGGAAGCCGTCTTAGCTAGAGCGATTTTGTTTTATGAGCTAAGTTACAAGCGAAGTTTCTATCAACGATCTATTTTAATTGTTTACATAGCTTAATATAGATATTTATATACCCAACATCTAACACATTATTAGCAACCATTACAATACTCTACACTCTATTCTAAATATACTACACTCAGTAAGCAAAATATAAGTATTTGAAATTTTTAACTCTAAATGTTTAACTGTTTTAAGGGGCGGCGTGGTCGAACGTTCGGCCACTGGTCCGGAGAACACCAGTTCCGTTCTCGGTCCTTCAGTGTACTTAGCTCTCATGGGTTTCTGACTCACGTTGGGCAAATTGAAGTTAAAGAAGCACGAACTCTACTTCATCTGCTCTATAGAAAGGAAATATTTATTTTACTGTTACACTAGATCAGTGGCGTAGCGAGGTCGGGTGTCATCAGAGGCGTAGCGAGGGGGGTACATATATCCCTGGGCGCCGACCTTAGGGGGCACCGAAATGGGTTGGAAAAACAAATTAAAATGTTATTTTAGCTGCATTTTTGCATTATAAATAGTTTGAGGGGGAGGGGGTGCAAATTGAAAGTTTGAGGCTGGGGCGTTCGTCGATATTTTGACGGTGGAGGGGGGGGGGGTGGCAAAGGTGCAAATGGAAACTTTGCTCCCGAGAGGGGCGCCAAATAGAATGTTTGTCCCCGGGCGCCAGGAAGTGTTGCAACTGAACTTCATTTGCGCCATAAGACCGCCAGGTTTGAAAAAGGGAACTTTAATTTTTACTGATGTAGCTTTCAGTTGAACTCAGGGGATGTCAGTATTTTTTATTTCAGCAAACTCTCGATTCATACCATTGTAAACACATGAGCCCCAAGCCTTCGATTTACACAGCCGTCTCGCGATATAAAATACTACAATTTGACAAATTAACACTTGACGTCATAGCTGGGTGTTGATTATAACATCATCTCGTCAATTGCGGGCTCGGGGTTTTTGGCGTCAATGTCAATGTCAATGTTTTGTTTTTGTATCAAGCTAGCTGGCTTTGCCAACAAAATGTGAGCGCTGTTGTGTTTTGTACTTTTTTAAAATCCCTGACGTTTTTGCAGTTAATGCAAAAAGTAGACTAGATCCCTGTGAGTTGGTTCACGGTGGGAAATCTCAGCAGACATCGCTGCTTAGGCATACTGAGTACTCATACTGTTGTAATGGAGCATTGTCGAACGATTCAAATGATTTAGATCTCACCATATATATATATATATATATATATATATATATATATATATATATATATATATATATATATATAAGTAGGTCTGCTGTCCCTGTAGTAAGTTTACGCGTGTTTTACCTTTAGAAATGCGTGTCCCAGTTGATAAACTAAGTTTAGATATTTGCTAAAAAAACATTATAGTATTACTTTTTAACTTAGTTTACGTTTGATTGTCAACTTCATAAAACAAGTTGGACAATCGTTTAAACAATTTTGCTAATTACACATTGAATCACTACGAGGAAGAGAATTATAATATTTCCCTACACTTGAAAATAAATTGGCATTTTAATTTCTAGGCATACGTAGTTGCTGTTGCAGAAGTGAAAACAACATAAATTGTGCTTGTACTTAGCATATGTTGCCGTGAGTAAATATGTGCAAAAACACTGACTGAAGAAACGATGCCCCCAATGCCGTTTACCCAAATGATGTGTTTGAAGATTTATCGGAGAGCAAGAATGAATGAGTCCCATTTGCATTGTCTAAATATATTTTTTTTAATTATAGATATTGGTACAATGTAGCAAAGTGCTAAATTGGACAAACTTTAGAATGTCTTCTCAAACACTGAAGTGATTTAAAATATCGTCAATATTTCTAAAACATATGAAAGCAGAAAATGATTTTTATTTGTTTATTTAAAAAGCCACTAGGGGATCATTGGAGGAGGACAATGGGTTGTTCCCCTTTCAAGATACATACATTGTATTG